TGGTAAGAAAATGTGGCCAAAATATTAAAGCCGATAAATAATCTATTATTCCCTTCAGCTGAGACACTTGTTTAGCAATGTTTATGTTTTTGAAATTCTTGAAATATGATTGAAATCTCTTCAAAAAATGAAAATACGGTTCGGTACAACATGTGCACCGCAAATCTGTCATATCGGCTATACAACACTATAATGAGAACATCAGTATAATTGTGTGCTTGGGACATGGATTTAATTGGGAGACTTTTGTTTTTGTAATCAGGCTCTCAAAATTAGATAAAAATTTGGATTTAAGTTTATCGGCAGATATATCGGTTATCGGCTTCAAATATAAAGAATTATCGGTTATCAGTATCGGCCAAAATATTCATTATCGGTGCATCCCTAGTTATAACTGCATTGTTCTGCCTGCTATTCACTTTCATAGTGTTGCTAACAATAAATGTTACTTCAAATTACTGCAAAGACTCATAAAATGTACTCACAATTGCTCTCCAGCTGCAAAACACAAGGGCAATTGCCCTTTTATAGCATACATGAAATGGCGATCCAGTGGGACTGGTAAGCACCAGTGAGTAGTTGGATATTTTAGAAGAATAGCATGAGAACTGTATTATGTCTGGTCTCTTGGTATCACCTCAGGGAGCTTTATTATTTAACACATGCTCAGCATGGTGATTTAATCCACTTTTGGAAAACTCTTAAAAGCGCAAGTGTGGACGCAGAATGTTTTGAAATGAAAATGGCATTTTCAAATATATGTGAACATAGCCTGAGATGTCATTTTACCATATGTTGGACAGATTTCATCCCTCTCCACTCTGTGCCTACGGAGTCTCTGTCTGTGGACACCTTCTCCCACAAGAACGACGTGTACGTGGCCATCGCTGCTCCTAACGCGGAGAGCTGCATGGTGCTCCAATGGGACCACATCGAGATGAACTTCAGGAGTTATGACAACATCACAGGTGCATTCATGGTAAACCCATGATATGAAGGCTTGTTACTGATGCAACAAAACTCATGCAGTGTGTTTTCTTTCATCTCAGGTCAGTCCATTGTTGGCTGCAAGTCTGTGATTATCCAGAACCAGGTCTTTGTCATTGTCGCTCAACTCTTTGGTGGCTCCCACATCTATAAGTTCGATGAAGACCAAAGCAAGTTCACAAAGTTTCAGGACATTGAGGTATCTAAGATTTCCAAACCGAATGACATTGAGGCCTTTCAGATTGGTAACGACTGGTTCTTCATCATCGCTGACAGCTCTAAGGCTGGTCTGTCCACTCTCTACAAATGGAACGACAAGGGCTTCTACTCCTACCAGTCCCTTCATGAGTGGTTTCGTGATACAGATGCAGAGTTTGTCAATTTAGATGGTAAGGCCCATCTTATCCTTGCGAGTCGTTCCCAAGTTCCGGTCATCTATCAGTGGAGCAGGAGCACTCAGAAATTTGCTTTGCAGGGTGAGATCCCTAACATGGAAGATGTAGTTGCTGTCAAGGCCTTTTGGATCAAGGAGGAGCTTTATCTAGCCATGACCCGGTACATCGGGGACTCCAAAGTCTTGCGTTGGACTGCTAAAGAGTTTTCTGAGGTTCAGGCCCTTCCTTCAAGAGGCTCCATGATCCTGCAGCCTTTCTCCTTCAAAGAGAGGAACTACCTGGCTCTGGGAAGCGACTACACCTTCTCGCAGATCTACCTGTGGGATGCTGAGAAGAAGGTTTTTGAGCGCTTCAAGGAAGTCTACATCCAGGCTCCACGTTCCTTCACCGTGGTCTCCACCGACCGGAGGGACTTCGTATTTGCCTCCAGTTTTAAGGGCAACACACAGATCTATGAGCATATCATCATTGATCTGAGCCTTTGAGTGCTATTGGACACAGTTATTGAGGCACGTCTGCTCAGCAGCAACCCCTCCTTTGACAGTTGGACATTTTTCTGGGCAATACAGTTAATGGGTTTTGTAACAAGAGAGGTCTGGAAAGCAAACGTAATATGGAATTATCAGGTTCATAGTTGTTTTACATAGATTCCAGGAAGGCCCTGACGTTTTTCTGTTGTACTATATTATAATTGTTATATATGATGTATAACAAATCTTCAGCATTGCTGAATCAGAGCATTTGTTCCGAAAGTATGGTGCAAGGACTGCCTAAAAGAGTTGCACTTGTCACCTAACAACCTAAATCACTCTACATAACGATATACACTGTACCTTTGAGAGCCTTTCATATCTCTGTATGCAACAGCTGATAGCATGCATGATGTGGCTGCAACGACATTCAAAAAATACAATCTTCAGAGCTGGCATGCAGATCGACTAGTGATACAGGTGACAAATGCAGTCCTATTATCTTTAGAAATATTAAGTCATATTTTACCTCATCGTTCACCATTTATTGAAATCATCTCTTGTGATGATCTAAGTTGTAATGTCAAGTAATTAGTCTGTTAAAAAGATTTGCCTTTATCACATTTAGCCTATTAGGATCTGTTCAGAGTGAAGCAAATCGAAACTTGCAGAAATGTTGGTTTATGTGGTTGGGTGTATTGAATTCAAAAATAAAGCCTTTTGTCAATGGAAAAAAAAATATGATCTATGCTTAAATACAGCAAAATTGTCAAAAGAACAAACCTTTAAAACCATCATAAATCTAATTAATATAGAAAATGACTTAATCTTACTCATTAACTTCAACAACTGACTTTTGGAGTCAACGATTTTATTTCTCTGTGCAATGAATGTAAATTTTTATTTGAAAGGTGCAGTAAGCAATTTCTGAGAAACGCTGTTGAATCCATGTGTGTCCACTCATGAGAGCGAGCAAGAGGGAGATTTAAATTAGACTTATTTTATCTTATCTCTGATCTTTTAATCTCGTTCTAATCTTTTTTCAAGTTATTTCTTTAGTTTCAGCAGAGAATAATTAAAATGTTACATAATAGCCAAATTCCCCAACACATCTACTCAACGTTAATCACATTTCGAATAAGAAAAAAAACAGCCAGGGCCAATTGTGACAAACAGAAATTATGAATAAATTGCTTAGCTGTGTCTTGAGGCTATGCAGTCTGTTGATTCACCTCATGTTTTTGGAATTGTTGTTGTGTTTTTTAACTTGTTAATTTGTTTTTAGTGTTCTGGTGTCGTGTCACCGCTTCCCGGCTCAGTATCTTACAACAAATATAACATTACATTAGTATTATAGACTATATGTTGTATTTTATTATCTTTGGTTTATCAAAAGGATTTTCCCCATCATACGGATACATTTTAAAGCATTAACCATCTATATTACCACATTCAATGTTATGGAAAAGAACCACCAGGACAGAAATTCACGAATTTATAAATGGTTATAAATTAAAAAGCTACAATTTGGGATCAGAAATGCATCACATAACTGTAAAAATTTATATTTTTAGAAAGCGCTTGTTTGTGAGGAAGGTTGGGAATTATTGTATCCAATATAGCTGTCACTTAACAGTGAGCAGACCCAAAGACTTGGGAGGTGAACTGATTATTTCTGTTTCCATGCGCGGTCAACACAAAATGAACGATTTACTCTGTCTTTTTATGGATTTGTTCAAAATAAACAAATTGTTCATGATCTACCCATCACTAATTTGAAGAGAGACTGTAGAGAGAGATGAAGGCCTGAATACGGATGCAGAGATTGTGTTGTTTCTGCTCCATCTGAGTTAAATTGGTTTTGATTTCACAGAACCAAGATATGCTGGTGTTGTATTATTATTGGTATGTTTGGTTCTACTGCCATCTAGAGGACAGACATAGGAAACACACCTAATCACCACAGGAAAGACATGAGGGTGGGTCATTAAAGACATCATTTTCATTTTTTGGGGAACTAACGTTAACACTGGGAAGTGGCGTAGATGACGGAGGAAAGACATGAACTTGCATCAGCCAATGTCTATGGCCAAGGTCAGTTTTGACATGCCAATACCGGCGATAGTCCTATCTCTTCGGAATAGAAAGTTTGTTCGATTTCTGGGAATGGCACAGGTAATTAAAACCACTTAACATTATAGACTATTTGAAAGCCGTAATTCTAACATAGTTATTATCACTTCTTTTTTTGCATTTATCAATAGCAACCGCACCAGTCTTTTAGCAACTTTTAATTTAAACTTATAACAAACATCACGCAAACAAATTATATTAGGCTAAATGTCACATGCATTCGGTGGCTATTTTAAAACAAATCCAGCTAGCCTACTCTAAATGAGCGTGCTGTTATCGACGTCATAATGTGCTTTAGCTACTCGTTTAGACTGTGCAGATTTTCTCTTTCTCTTGTAACACTGCAGTGATGGGCCTATGTATTATCTTAAAATTAATTATTTTAAGAATTTATTTATTAAGTGAAGTGAGGATCTCACATCACAGCCTATATATATATATATATATATAATATATATATATAATAATATATATATATATATATATATATATATATATATATATATATATATATATATATATATATATATATATATATAATATATACATACAGATGTAACTAAACTTTGAATGTGCAGACCTATGTAAAAGTTTTAAAAAACTGCATTGAAAATCCCTTTGTAGTGTGCCTACTGTACATTTGTGAAACAAACTATTGCAAAATTGTGAAAATAGCTAAAGTTGTTCTGTTGTATAAAACTGGGGATAGACACATCTTTACAAATTATAGGCTTATTTCTTTACTTTACAAAATTCTAGAAAAGCAGTCTCAGTGAACACTGAACAGTCTCTCGCTGGGCAGACGGGACGTGAACAATCTCTTTGGGCAGACGGGCATTTCCTCCTCCTTCTCCGTCCGTGACAGCGAGAAGTAGGTCCTGAGCTGTCCCTCAACGGCCCATGATCAAAGGGGGGCCAGGATGGAGCGTGGTGTTGAACCACTTCTCGACCCTCTCGTCCTCCCTTACAACCTCCACGGGTCCCACGAAAAATGACCAGGCGAGTCCCCCGAAAATCTCTCCTCTCCTCCTCTCTCCTCTCCTCTCTACAAAGGCAATAGCTCTATCAGACTAAAAAATGGGACATCGGCAAGATTTGAGCTGCAAATAGGCATTCGACAGGGCTGCAGAAGGATTTATCCTTGAAAGGACGAGTTTTGATGACAAAGGCAAAAGGTTTATCCCATCTCTTTCAAAATTATCCAGCTAAGCAATATCAATATATAAAGCTGTTGACACAATCGAACACAATTTTATGTTACGCACTCTATAATTATTTGGATTTGGAGAAAATTTTATTAATTTTGTAAAATGAATTTATAAGGACAGCTCAGTTATATTACCTCAGGGTACATCTTCAAGAGTTTCAATTGACAAAGGAATCAAACAAGGTGGTCCGACCCATTTCTCCCCGGCTCTTTATTGCTCCAGTGGAAATGCTTTCTATTCTCATAAGAAATTCTGATTTAGAAAGATTGCTTTTGTAAAAATATTGAAAGATTGAATTTTTATTTGAAGAATAAGGATATAATTCCTTCACAAAGGCTTTGTGAATTGTAATATTGGGTAAATGCATGCGAGTTAGAAACTCCATACACCAAAAGACAAGGGGTTACATTACTATGAAATACATTGAAAGACATCTGAGTTATAGTGGGAGAAAGGAATATGGTCTGCAATGCATATTTTAGATAATACGGTCATGTCTTTTGAGACTTTCTGTTTAAAATTTCATTTATTTGACAGAAAACATTAAAGCAATCCCACAATCTATAACTCAGATGTCTTTCAATGTATTTCATAGTAATGTAACCCCTTGTCTTCCTAAACTTTTGGTGTATGGAGTTTCTAAGTCGCATGCATTTACCAAATATTAGAATTCGCAAAGCCTTTGTGAAGGAATTATATCCTTATTCTTCAAATAAAAATTCAATCTTTCAATATTTTTCCAGTGCTGAAGTTAAGATCTTAAAAACAAAATATCTTTTTAAATTTCCAGTTGCACCAAAAGCAAAGGAAATGCACTTTAAAATTCTGAAAAAATAGGGGGAAAATAATTGCAAAGTAGGCTACATATAATTCAGTGCAGTGCAGAGTGTTCTTATTTATATTATCAATTCATTTTAGTTTTTTTTTTTTTTTAAATTCATATTATAGGCTATTGCATAGGATACTGTTGCATGGTCGACAGTATTAATATACAGGAAGCTGCCAAACATTTCAGTGTACACCTTTCGTGCGGTAGATGACGTACAGCATAGGCTACAGTGTGTAAAACCAGGAACATCTTACCTCTTCTTTTTTTTTTTTTTTTTAAATCGGATACCAAGTAGCCTATTATCCAGGTATCAATGATAGATAGCCTATAGCTACCAATAATACCGATCTCTTTTGATTTGATTTTTGATATAAGGTTTTGCGCTTTCTGGGAATAAAACAGGTAGGCTATTATAACCATTTAAGTAAGATTATATTTGAAACCTGGCTAATTTTAACATTTAATGATCAAACTATGTTTTTAAGCATTTATCAGCAATCACAGATCATTGCCTATCCTTTTGCAACTTTTAATTTGAACTTATAACAAACATCCCATAAACCAGTTATATATATTAATGTCACATTTCCATTCGTGGCTCGTGGCTATTTAAAACAATTTCAGATTTCTCAGGCTATGAATGAGCGCACTGTTATCGACTGCATGTGCAGCAGGTGTTCAGAAGTGCAGGAGGCATTGTACAAACTATATTATTGTAACAAATGAATTCATAATTTAAGTGAGGATCTTTCGTTAAGTGAGGACCCATCACCGAAAGTATCGATTCTTCGAGATCGGCCCGCCCATTCCGACTGAGTTTCATTTTCATGAAAACATGCAAATGTAGGCCTATTTTAAAGTCTATATTATTAGAGACATAGTTGTAACTAAACATTGAAGAGGGGGAATGACAGGAAAAGTAGCGCGTGTAAATACGTTTTATATGGAGGCTAGCATTTCTGTAACAAACGGTTACACAAATAGGCTATGCAGACTGTAAAACATGAAACATTGATACTGTTCCTAAAGCCAGAACATTTTTCACACTAGTTAAAAAATGAATAAATATAAAAGTAAGCGGAGTGTATATTTACACAGTGCTGCAGTGCAAATAGTCTGCATTGTTAGTAGAAACTATTTACACTAACTGTGCCCACGTAGGGAGTGAGCTCGGAGCATATCAAATTAATTAGTATGTTTATACATTTTTTTAAAAATTGTATACATATTTCATTGACAAGATTTATGTATTTATTATTCATTGACAAATATTTATTTCCTTTTTTTTTCATTGACAATCAGAGTGAAATACTGAGATTAATGCATAGGCTATGGTATGACAACATATTGACAGAATTTAAAGATTTCCATCTAAACAAAAACTTACTAAAAACAAAGTAAAGATTAACACTGTGTCTATTATCAATGTAAAGAAATAATAAAAGAAGTAATAATGCTACTCAGTGCCTGAATTTCAAGTGTTTAACATCGTTTGACAGATTGTAACGAGTATTTGAAGATCCATGGGAACATGCCATTCCAGTTACAAGTAGTTCCGGTTCCAGTTTCAGCAATACCTAGAAAAACAGACCCCCTAATAAAATTAGAGAAAAGAGATTATACTTATAAAAGCAGAGACAGCGATGGATGAAGTCATAAAAAAAAAGCTGCAAAAGTTTGATGAATCACTGAGACATCCAGCAGGCTCAAGTGCAGTGGAGAGTTTATGTGAGGAGACTGCTGCCCTATCAACATGCAGCAAGAAGAAGAAGAAGAAGAAGAAGAAGAAGAAGAAGAAAAAGAAGAAAAAAATCCAGCAAGAAGTGGGATCACAAGAAGGTGAGCTGCAAGATAAAGAGGATCCGTCATTTCCAGACACTGTCATGAAATCCATTGAGGAATCAAACTCGAGTGTGCAACCGTTCACACAGCCTGCTGAGAACTCAAACAGGTGGCATCAAAACAGTCATCCCCAAGTCATCACCAAGCTTGAGAAGCTAGCTAAAAGCTTCTCAACAGGCTCCAACAGGCATCCAACAGGCTCAAGTGCAGCGGATAGTTTATGTGAGGAGACTGCTGCCCTATCAACAAGCAGCAAGAAGAAGAAGAAGAAAAAGAAGAAAAAAATCCAGCAAGAAGTGGGATCACAAGAAGGTGAGCTGCAAGATAAAGAGGAACCGTCATTTCCAGACACTGTAGTGAAATCCATCGAGGAATCAAACTCGAGTGTGCAACCGTTCACACAGCCTGCTGAGAACTCAAGAAGGTGGCATCAAACCAGTGTTCGCTGGAGGCCCAAGCTTGAGAAGCTAGCTAAAATGGATGATAACAAGACATATAAGCCAGGAAGTCTTACTCTTGTACTCAACCCTGAATTTCTGATTGCTAGGGGAAGTGATGGAACACAAGTTTTTCTTGGTTTGAGGGATGACGGCACAGAAGTGGCTTTGAAACGAATGGATAAGTTTAATTACCAAGACCTCAAAAATGAGGAGGAATTTCTACGACATCCAGACCTTGATAGTCCCTCCATTGTGCGATATGTGGACTTTACAGAAGATGAGCATTTTGGATACCTTGCTCTTCAGCTTTGTGAGTACACACTGGAGGAATATATCCAAGAGCATTTACCAGATGATAACACTGAGAGAAGTTTGGTTTTGAAGAAGCTGGTGAAGGAAGTTCTCTGCAGCTTACAAGTTTTACACCAACCGAAAACTAAAGTGCTTCATCGGGACATCAAACCCCAGAATGTTCTGATTGGTAGGAGTTAAACCTGAGAAATTTAAATTATCTGATTTTATTTTCTTCCAATACTTTAAAACTTCTGTTTTGTTATAGATATAAATGGAAAAGCTAGATTGGCTGATTTTGGCATAAGTCGTCGATTGAACCAAAGTCAAACAACTTTACGAACAGGCATTGCTGGAACTAGATGCTGGAAGGCAAAGGAGACCATAAATGAGGAGGTCACCATTGGGTACAAGAGGAGCTCCGACATTCAGGTGATCTCTCCTTTCTTTTAAGTCAAAAATATTGTAATTATTATAACTAAATTAAATAATTAAAATATATTATTGAAAATCAATTATTGACTTAAAATTAATATTACAATTAATTTAAATTGTATTTGATGGAAAATTCTAAACTTAACACTGTAACCTGTTTGAAGGTTGCTGGGATGTTGGTGTACTATATTCTCTCTAGAGGACAGCATCCATTTGGTAAAGGCGCATATTGTGAAGTCAACATCCTACAAGGAAGATACTCACTGGAACATCTGGATGATGAAGTAGCGAAGGATCTCGTCGAGTGGATGATCAATGAAAATCCAAACAACAGACCAACTGTGGAGCAAACACTTGCACACCCCTTCTTCTGGAATGATGAAAGGTAGAATATTACATGGATTTGGTAATGACATTTGTCTAAACCAGCCAGAGTGGTTCAGTACTACTCATAGTACTAACTTAGTAGGATTTTACATCTACTGTATATACTTTTTTAATCATCTGAAGAGATTGTGCTGTTTTTGAAATCCTGTCAGGAGAGTGGAGTATTTGAAAAAAGTGGGGAACCAGAATGAGACCGAGAACTGTCGTAATGTTGATGAGGAACTCCTTCATGCCATTGAAAAATACACAGAGGGGAAAAGCTTTTCTGAATGGAAAACTAAAGTAAGTCTAACTTCAGTGCAGACATATTCAAACATATTTATATACATAGGTAAATATAACATTTTAAATATAATTAAATAAATGAAAATAGTAACAACTTAGAATATGATTTCATGTCTTTTAGATTTTCCTTGTTACAAATAATTTGAGTGTTGTTAAAGGCCTGTTTACTTTAAATAAAATAAAGCGAAAGTAATGAAGTAAATATTTATTTTGTCAGTTGCGGCCTGACATTGTCCAGAAACTGGATGGAAAGAAGAAAGGCTATCCTGAGAACACACTGGGCCTGCTGCGTTTTATTCGCAACCTACACGAGCATTAGTGAGTTACATGTGACAAGATGTGATGCACATTTGTTAAATAATTTAGTAGTATTGTGTATCAGACCATGTTTTTTGGTGTCTCTTTTCTCTACATAGTCCAGAGGACGCAGAGAGCATCAACCTGATGGATTCATTCCCTGATCTGTTTGGGAGTGTGTTCAGGTTTGCAAAGGAGAGAGGGTGGAACTCCAGGACGAGTCTCAAAAAGTTCTTTAGCTCAGTTCCATAGATTTGATTGTTGTTATTTTTAAATATGTACATTGATTTTGCATCATGAATGTATTTCATGATTGATTTTTAAATAAAGACAGATGTAAGATGAGCTAAGGTCTATTGTTGTTCCGGAAATGAGGCCCTGACAGCTGAAAAACAATGACAGATACTGTAAAAAATGCCAGTTGTACATTTTTAAACAGGATAATTTCAGTTCTTGTTTTATCTTCTGGAAAATATGTAAATATCTGTTACAAAGCAACCTTGGCTGTACTAAGCAAATGATCACAATTACAATTGTGAACAATTATCATACAGTTTTATACATGTTTGGTATCATTTGAAATGTCTCAGTGCGACTAAATGTATCATTTCCAAAGAGGTAAACCAAAAGGTAATAAAGTTCTTAATAGTTTAGAAATATCTTGCACACAGAAGGTTGTGACTTCACGGCAAATGGTCACCTGTTCTCAAAAGGTGTAACCTCTGAATGCAAATTTCCATTGTTAGCACATGTTTCTATGTGAAAGAGGTTTTGTGAAATGCAGCAAAGGGCATAGGGCGATTCTGTACCTCAGATCAGCCCGTGAATGCGTCACCGAGCATATGTATTTCCTAATGTTTGGTTCGCATCTCTTCTCATTATTCCTTTGCATTTGATGTTTTGTATTGATTATTTTGAAGTGATTATATAATTGGAATGATACATTTACCTGACATAATAAATTGTAAACATTTGATTTTATTCTAATAGACTCTGACTTTATTGAGACTATTGGTGCCGACAATTGCGATCTCCTTCAACTACCTCAGTTCAGTTCTCGCGCATGCGTCGTGGAAATCTAAGGAAGTCTCGTTTCAGGCCAACAAGGAAGAAAAGGAATAGTCGAATAAAGTCGTTATTTTTGTTTGTTTTTTCGCACAAAAATTATTCTCGTCGCTTGATAAACTTATAGTTGAGCCACTGTAGTCACATGGAATATTTAAACATTTTCTTCATTGACTTTCTGGGCCGTCAAGAGCCAGTCTCTTAGTCAGCCTATGTGGTAGTTATACAGCTCTCAAATTTAATCAAAAATATCTTAATTTGTGTTCCGAAGATGAACAAAGGTCTTACGGGGTTGGTACAGCATGGGGGTGAGTAATTAATGACTTAATTTTCATTTTTGGGTGAACTAACCCTTTAAGTTCATTGAACTGGGAAAAGTGAGTTAATACAATGAAGGAGATTAATTTAACCATCATAAACTCAAAATTATATGTTATCTGAACTAAACAAATTATTTAAGTTGATTTGACAAAAGAAAAAATGTTGTGATTCCTACACTGTAAAATTTTTTTGTTGGTTTAACTTAAAAAAGTAAGTAACCTGGGTTGCCTTAAAGTTTTAAGCTGATTGAACTGGAAAAAAGTGAGTTAATACAATGAAGGAGATTAATTTAACCTTCAAAAACTCAATAAATAATAAGTTATCTCAACTAAATAAATTATTATAAAGTTGATTTGACAAAAGAAAATATGTTGTGATAACAAAATATTTTTTTACAGTGTAGGCCCAGTCCACACTACTGCGTTTTCGTTTAAAAACAGAGACCTTTTGCTACGTTTGCACCTCCCTTCCAGACTAAAACGGCGAAAACGCATTAGTGTGGACGGGGCCTTAGAGATGTACAAGGAGAAATACTCAATCATCTGATACAAAAGATACTCAGTGTCATGATGCAGAAGACATCTGAACAGAAACTGAGTCCAAATAAGTCTATGTGAAGTTATGCAAAAGTCTATTGCCACTCACACATCCTGATTATTCAAGACTCAGGATCAAGTCTATAACAAGTCTTATTATAACAAGTATAATAAGTCTATAGACATAAATGGAAAAGCTAGATTGGCTGATTTTGGCATAAGTCGTCAACTGAACCCAAGCCAAACAACTTTACGAACAAGCAATGCTGGAACTAGATGCTGGAAGGCAAAGGAGAACATAGATGAGGAGGTCAACTCTGGGTACAAGAGGAGCTCAGACATTCAGGTGATCTCTTGTGTCTTTTAAGCCAAAAATATTGTAATTATTATAAATAAATTAATTAATTAAAAATATATTATTAGAAATTCAATTATTCGCTTAATCGTCTACCGATTTGGAGTGCATTTAAGAGGTGATTTTAAAAAGGTTTTAGGCTACGGCTGGTATTATTCACATTATTCTTTACACAATATATAATGACTATTCAGACTATTAATTTAAAACAATGAACAAATGGTAATCACTGTTCATCTCAAATGGTTTTAAAATACTTTTCCTTTATTTTGTGTTCGCCATCTACTGGTTGGATATGTACAATGCCTCTCTACAATAATAATAAAAAAGAAACTAAGTTACACTTTTATTGCATTGCATTATTCATTGTTTCATAAATTCGCTACTAGAAATTCACAGTTAGCTACTCGCCACGCCCCCACTAATATTCTGAACACTGATGCTGGTTCAGTGTTTCACAAACCCGGATCTTGTGCACCAGCTGACCCAGAGTAAACAGTGGTGGCTGAGAGGAAAGGTGAAGTTTCTGCCTCTCAATAAAGCCCGCGCAAATACTAGCTTTAGATTATAATAACATTAAATATTAACGCCAAACACTGGAAGAAATGAATTCGTCCAAACGAAGTGAAAGTGACTGGCAAGGTTTAGTGAGCGAGGTGAGTACTGCGTTACTAAAACACGGGTGATGATGATGATGGCTGTTGCCATATGGTGCTGCATCGCTGCCAAAACCACCTGAACTTAATATTTTATACAAAATCTAGATCAAATGTGCTTTTAAGTTGTTAAAAAGTCTCTGAATTTTATGTTGCCTATGTTTAAGAGTGCCTCCTACTTAAAAAGCGAATTTAAAATGTATAAATTACGTGTTCTGTTTTATTTTATTTATTTTACACTAATTACCTCAGGTTTTCCAAGACCATGGACCCGGTTCGTTAAAGAAAAGACGGGGATAAATATATTTAATTTTTAGTTGTTTTTGCTTATTGTAATGCTTATTTTAAATCATTGAACACTTAAAGGGTTTCGTTAGGTTTTATGGCACTTGATAAATACATGCTTTATAAAATGAACACATTATTAATTTATTTAACTTTTAACTGCCTGGCCTTTTGATACATGGCAATTAAATATTTAAAGCCTTATTATAATGTTTGTATTGTTGCTACATATTTTTGTGCCTCACCCTCACATATAGGCTATCAATTAAGATTTTAAGTTTTTTAATATAAGTCTCTTTTGCTCACCAAGGCCTTATTTATACAGTAAAAACAGTAATACTGTGAAATATTATTACAATTTAAATTAACTGTTTTCGATTTGAATATATTTTAAAATGTCATTTATACCTGTGATGGGATGCTGAATTTTCAGCATCATTACTCTAGTCTTTAGTGTCACATGATCCTTCAGAAATCATTCTAAAATGATGAATTGCTGCTCAAGAAACATTTCTTATTATTATCAATTTTGAAAACAGTTGTGCTGCTTTACATTTTTGTGGAAACCCTGACTCTGATGTGACACTAAAGACTGAAGTAATGGCTGCTGAAAGTTCCACTTTGCTATAACACGATTTAATTTTAACATAATTCAAATAGAAAACAGTTATTTTTAATTGTAATAATATTTCACAATATGACTGTTTTTACAGTATTTTTGATCAAACAAATGATGAATGAAATGAACTGTGAGGATAAGAGACTTCTTTCAAAAACATTATTCCAAACTTTAGACTGGTAGTGTACTGGTTCACACTGGATTCTTGTATCTGCAGTTCTTGATATGCAAACGTAAACTGGAGAGCAAGAAGGAAGGCCTTCTCATTCTGTCCAAAGAACTGGACACTTGTCAGCAGGAGCGAGACCAGTACAAACTGATGGCCAACCAGCTGAGAGAGACACACCAGAGCTTGAAGAAGAAATACAGAGAACTAATTGTGTGTCATCTAATCAATTACTATTATTATTATTTATATTTAAAAGTGATGATTTCTTGGCTATATAGTTCATCCGTATGCGTTCTAATGTATTTCAGGATGGAGAATCTTCACTTCCCCCAGAAAAACGAAATCAGGTCAGCTGATTTAGACTTTATTTTTCTTGACTTTTCAGTTCCTTGCAGGTCATAACTTTCTTTTTCTCTTTGCTTTTCTGTCTTTCCCTTTCTCTCAGGTGAATTTGGCTCAATTGTTGATGGATTCGAGGGAGAGAAATAAGCAGCTCGTTGAAGAGGTGAAGGAACTGACTCAGAGACTCAGTGAGACCCAGGGAGACAATAAGGTACCCATAACACAACTCAAATTAGCTATATTTGCATCCAAACTCGAAAAATTGGAATATCATATAAAACATTTGCGAATAAATCAGTTTCCATCCCATGTGTTCAAGAGAACAAAATCAGTTGTGTACAAGTTTTAATGAATTGAGTACAAAAGAAAATATTTTTTCCGAAATAGAAATATTTTGTAGCATTATAAATGTCCGTAATGTCACATTTGATCAATTTAATGCATCCTTGCTGAATAAAAGTATTACCTCAAACTCAAAATTACATCAAATTAAGACCTCAAACTTTTGAACGATAGTGCATAATGTTACAAAAAGTTTCTATTTCAGATAAATGCTGTTCTTTTGAACTTTTTATTTATCAAAGAATCCTAAAAATAATTGTACACAACTGTTTTGAATATTGACAATAATACTAAATGTTTCTGTTTGCAGCCTTGGTGAGCAGAAGCAACTTCTTTTAAAAAACATTTAAAAATCTGATGATAACCTTTGAACGGTAGTGTACAGTATATGTGTCCTTTTCTTATCCCTGTTGTGATCTTCTCTTCATAGCTGTTAAGAATGACCATCACAAAACAGAGGCTTGGGGATGATGAAGTCGGGTTCAGACATTTCCCTGTTCATGAGCGTGAGGATCTGGTCAGGCAACTGGAGAAAGCAGCACTACATGTGCGTCTTTACGTTTTATATGATTCCCATCCTTATTTATTGCACTTCTCCAGTTCTAGTGAATGAAAAAAAACATATTTTTCGAGTTCTTTCCTGTATGCTAATCATATATTTTCAATGTAATGACGGTAAATCAAATATGGCATTTTGTACGAATATCTGCTGGTACTGTTTTTTAAGAGAGAAGAACTTGAATACAGTCTGAAGACGGTGAGCGACGAACTGCAGGATATAAAGGCAGAGAGGACCGTGTTCAAGGAGAAAGCTGAACGTCTCAACCTTGAGCTGAACCACATCCTTGGAGGCCAGGAGAAGCGCATCATAGATGTGGATGCCCTCTGCATGGAAAACAAGTGAGGGAGTGTTACTGTAGCTTAAAAGATCTTCATTATGTTTAATAATTCAGTGGTTTTCAACTTGTATGACAAGGCCCTTTATTGTCTGCAACAATATTTGATGA